GAAGAGGATACTGTCATTTGAAGGAGAAAGCTCTAGATCGCATTAAGTGGAGGAATTGTTTTGGAAGAGACTGTGGACCTGTCGTCTGACAGATTACTTATGATGATGATGATGATGATGATGATGATGATAATGATAAATTTTAAATATTAAAACTGTTCAGGATTTGTCATTCTTACGTCGTACCTCAATATGCAAGTCACACCTATCTTCTTCTATCGGAGTATTCTACCTACTTTCATGTGTGTATTGTGCTTTGTGTTGTGTCTTGCTCCTGTGACTGCGTGTGTTAGTTAGTTAGTTTTAATAAAAAATGGATGGTGCAAGTACTTATGTTTGGAAGTCATAGCATTCATGAGCTGTATATAATAGTTTGTGTATTATTTGAAATGTTGTATTTATATATTACTTATGATTGTAACAAATGTTGGAAGTATGCTTGTAACTTTGTAAATTTGTTTTGTTAACTTGTATTACCAAATGACTTGTCCAAGTGTTACTATGTAGCAAAACGGATGAAAATAAAATACAATACAATTTTTTGTTCAAAATCCTTAGAGAGGGGGTCAGAAGCCAACCCTTCTACGTCGGCACTTGCCCACTTAACAGGTATTCCTTGTGGTTTACGTTTGAACCTTTCCCGCTCGTTGCCTACTTTCCTTTTCTGCAGATATTTTCACCGTTTCTGATATGTAGTACTCTTTCGAGATTCGCATTTATTTTTTGTACTGGAATTTTTACTGAATATAAATGTATTGAATGTTTCAAATTATTGTTACGTTTGTAATATGTTTCAAAATTTCCTTTGGAAACCTAATATTAAATTTATTATGAGTATAGATTTTTATACGAGTTTGCGTACATGTTCAAATCAAAGTCGCTCAGTATCGCTCTGTATGCCCGCATTGAAAGCACCTAATGTTTGTCTCAAAATGACTGTGTTAAAGTTGGAATTGTTGTGTGTTCTGAGGGAAAATACTCGTTTACGGTGTTGAGAATGGTAGTTCGAAAATATGGTTCATTTTATAAGAACATATAGTATGGCATTTTAAATCTTAAGAATTTAACCTCCATTTAAACATGGCATCAGTGTCACAAGCTGGTAAACTCCAAAGACAAGATACAGGAATTGTTACGAACTCGACAAAGAAACCCGTTCTAAATCTTTTTCCACAAAGAGCGGACTGCAAATATACACCATGTTATTGGTAAGTCGTTGCTTATTTATTTAATATATTATAAGGCGTTCTGACCATTTCTATAGGTTGTGAACCCCAATACGCAGTTTGGTGATCCTGAGAGATATGCACTTCTTGCTTTCAGTCCTTCCCTGCAATGGGATCAATATGTGAACACGCACACATTCACGTGCTGCAGCAGTGTGTTGATATGTGTGAACACGCAAGTCTGTAATTATTATTATGACACTATCTCTAGAGTAATGGCAGTGGGTAGCGAATTTAATAATACCATTTTAACATATTTACACATTGAAGCCAGGTTGTGTTGTATAGTTGCATGGACTGTTTTCACTCGATGCGTTAATGCTAGTAGAACACTAGATAATGAAGAGCTTATGTGTATGTTGTAATGTATACACATTTTAGGAATCACCTTTACCCGAATCTTTACAAATGCGTAAAAATGAGTTTGAAAAATATGACTGATTTGACAGTTTTCTTAACCAAATTTCGAATAAACTAAAATGATTTGGAGATGAATATCCATTTTTTTATTCTCCACTACAAAAATAATCACATCTGAACCCATTGCGTTATTACTATGCTGGTGCTGCCACTGTTATTTACTGCAATAGTGTGGTCATCTTTGGGTTTCCTACAGTTTGTTGAGCTCTTCAGGTGAATTAATCTGGTACACCACCTGTATGGAGAGTTAGGCTACTAGTAAAATTGACATACCTGTAGCCAAGGCCTATTGTACCAGCCCCAGATGATAGGTGAGGGTGATTGTGGAGCAATTGGTGGAATGAAGATTGGCAGGGGAAACCGAAGTACTCGGAGAAAACTTGACCCAGCGTCACTTTGTCCACCACATATCCCATTTGACCAGACCCGGGATCGAACCCGGGCTGCCGCAGTGGGAAGCCAGCAACTAACCGCTTGAGCACGGCCCTGTGTTTTCCTAAGTAATTATGTTAATTTCATTCATTCATATTTTATCCTGTAGATCAAAATATACTGCTATAGGAAATGTCCATGTATGTTATCAAAATACATTAATTATTATGGTACAAACATACACTTGGTCACCGACTTACAACCACAAAAAAAAAATGAAAAGTAAAAGATGATTAAAATGTAAAAGTTTTTAAAAATAAATTATAAAGATGATAAAAATATTAGAAAGGTTAAAAAATACTGTTAATAAATATATGACAACATATGACCAGATCGACTTATGACCTGTCAGTCAGAACGGAAGTCAGTCGTAAGTCGACGACCAGGTGTGTTAGAAATATAGCTGATTCTATACATCTGCTTGTCAGTAGCCAATATTACAGATATCTTCAGTGAGATAATCTTGTATTGAATAACAGCATCCCTTAATAAGTAAATCCTTCAATTGCATTTTAAGGTAGTTGTTACATACATACATATATACATCTGCATTTCAAGATATTCATAAGTGCAATCTGCACTGAATATGAAACTTGTCACAAGCTTTACAAACAACAATACATCGTTACAGTTCCAACATGCCATATCACAATAACAAACAAACATAAATGCAAATAACGTGCATCTAAATGAATACACAAAGTACTTTTTTTTTTAATTTGTTTCATTCTGGTCCGTCACACTAACAGGTTTACAATTAAGTTTATTTCAGTCCAGTGTGACATATAATGCTTCCACCACTTTAGCACTTAGTTACCCAATATGTTTCGATTCTTAATGAATCATCATCAGAGGTATGCCTCTACGATCAGGAATCCACTAATACATAAAAGTTTTCCAGAGTACAAACACTTAAAACATTTATGATGCTCACTATATGTTGTTGATTTTTGTTGTATAGACACTGATGTAAATTTTTTTTTCCTTAGTAAGAACGTTTTTGAATTGTATTACTTAGAAGTGGCGTACTTGCAGTCACTTCCCTAATTGATAAGTAATAATGTTCCACTGTATTTCGTATAAAAAATTCAATTTGTTTCACCACAGCAGCCTTCCTTACGTTAAAATTAAGTTTATGAGTATGTGTATAAACTTATTTTAAGATAAGAATTTTATTCATAAACCAATGTGGGTTGGTTTTATCTTCCTTAGTAGAGGAATTGTTGTCTATCCCTTGGTGGTGTGTTCTTGTTATTAACTGTGTGGTTTGTATGCATGCTGTGCTGCTTGTGCTGATTCCTGATCGTAGAGGTGTACCTCTGATGATTCATTAAGAATCGAAACATGTTGGGTAACTAAGTGCTAAAGTGGTGGAAGCATTATATGTAACATTGGACTGAAATAAACTTAATTGTAAACATAAAATACAGATTATATTTACACTTAATGTCTATATTGATGCCTACTGTGGGACATTCATCAGTCAGCATGCACTCCCCTTCTATTCCTTAGCTGTTGATCCTGACAGAAGAGCAAAAATTCATCAACAATATATGACAGATTATGTATTAGGACATCCCATATTTCTTTTGTAAACTGTTTTTATCGTGTACAAAATCAGTTAAGTAATCAGGCAGACTGTTAAATATTTTTATACTCATGCAGTGGACCCCTTTCTGCTTCATTGTTAGACGTGATTGTAGGACATGTAAATTTCTTTCGTGTCTTGTTGGTCACTCATAGATTGAATAATTAAAAGTAAAATACTCCAAGTTATTTATCATGAAAGTCATCAAAGATAAAACATATTGAGAGACCAGTGTTAATATATTTAACTTTATAAATGCTGGCCTACATGACTCTCTATGTTTCATCCCCATTATTATTCTAATAGTCTTCTTTTGTAAGAGAAAGATCTTCTTGGCCTCTGATGAATCACCCCAAAAAACTATTCCATATCTCATAAGTGAATGAAAGTATGCATGATATATCATTTAAAGTGTTGTAACATTACTACATGTTTTCATAATTCGTATTGCATAACATGCCTTTCCCAATCTGGATAACAGTGATTCAACCTGCTACTGATGGTTTACCGTTATAAAGTTCTAAATTATATACATACCTAGGATAGTCATTATTTCTTGTGTTATATTTATGTACATGTTTATTTACAGCGCAGTTATACTTTTCTTTTGCATATAAGATTGCTTCTTGAATGTATAGTGAGTATACTGTTAATATTGTGGCATACAGACAGTGCTAAGCAGTGACTGTAAACAGTGGCTATTGCTAGGTAGCGCTCGCAACATAAATGCACGCAATAATAGAACAGGATTACACAACCCGTTTCTAGGCAATGTCTCAATGGGTACATTCCCGCAGGGGCATGCACGCGTGCAACAGTGGAGGAATGGTGTTTGCCCTTGGGTCCGCAGCAAGGCTATATAGCAAGGACCTGAGACCAGCTCAGTGCAGTGTCAGTTTAAAATCAGTTTGTGAAGAAGGAGGAGGAGGAGGTGTGAAATGGCCACCAGCCTGGGACCCAGTTAGTTGAGGGCTGGCAGTTTAGTGGACTTCTACACAGGTGGCTGTGAACAAAGAAATTGAGCATTGGAAGCTGAAGCATATAAGTCATTGCTAGGGAACTGCTAGTTAAGAAACAGCAAGCTGGAAAAAGCATAGCAGATGCTGTGATGATGGAAATTAGCGATATCGCTGTAATTGCTTATAGTTCAAGTGGTGTATGTAGGTGGTCAGTAAATCCAATAACTAATTTGTACCCCATCTACAAGTTCCCTATTCCAGTTGTTTTAACCATGTTGTGTACCTTACAGCCCTTTCCTGAAGGGTAAATATTCCTCTGGTGAGTGCCTTCACACTCTGTCCATGTTATTTCTAATAGAGCAAATGAATTTTTTTGGCTTATTGTAGTATTACTAGTTTCTGAATGCATTAAGTTTTTTTCAAGTAAGAGTTCATTTACGGTTTCTAAGAAAGTAAAAATATGTTACATATTCTGCTTGTACTTGAGACTGTTTCGTTTTCCACATGTAGGTGAATTTTACAAGTCAATGAATGTATTATTCAACACTTACTTACTTACTTACTCACTCACTCACTCACAGAGCTGAGCCATTCTGGAGGAGCCACCAATTCTGCAGCTACTCAAGAATTTCCCAGCATTTTATGGTACCCGAAGGTTCATTACCATGTTCAGAAGAGCCCTCCACTGGTCCCTATCCTGAGCCAGATCAATCCAATCCATACCATCCCATCCTATCTCTCTAAGATTCATTTTAATATTTTCCACCCACCTATGCCTTGATCTTCCCAGTGGTCTCTTTCCTTCTGGTGTTCCCACCAATATCCTATATGCATTCCTCTTTTCCCCCATTCGTGCTACATGCCCTGCCCACCTCATCCACCTTGACTTGAACATTCTAATTATACTTGAAGAACCCTATATGCAGAAAATTAAATTAATCCACCCAATATTTTAGGAAACAATTTATATTGTACTAATACTTACATAAGCCAGTCACGGTAGCCGAGTGATCTAAGGCATGTACTGTCTTCACTCGCTTGGAAACCGGGATCATGGGTTCGAATCCCACTCAGGGCATGGATGTTTAGTTTGTGTGTGCGCGTTTTTCTGTGTTTGTATACAGGTAGAGGCCTTGCAACGAGGTGATCACCCACCCAAGGAGTCCTACCAAATGTGTAAGATCTAGAAAAATCAAAGTGAACGGAGAAGTTCATGGAGGTAGGCCTAGGCTCACAGGGGCTGTAATGCCAAGGAAAAAAAAAAATACTTACATAATATGATGGGGGTGGGGGCTGCTTGCTGGCCACAATGCCCTTGAAGTCAGATACAGTTTTGGAATTGTGTATCCTTATTTTATGTTTTGCATTAAAACTATTTTGGTATTTAATTTTTGTTGCTGCATATTTTGAGAACACTGTTATTACAGATATGTAAATGGAAGCAGAAGTAGATTCTTCACAGTTACATGTGAAATGCATGAACATTCTTCCTTCAGACCACCCCAAAAATTAGTTGCAGGAAGGATTTGAGGTTCTCGCAGTGGTGGTTGCGAAGAGTTCCATTGTCAGGGATGTAATGTGGTGTAGTCCATTGAAAGTCAACTGATGTTTCAAAGCAACGTGTTGCCTCCATCTTCAGGGTTAGAGAATAAGCCACGCAAGAAACCAGCATGAAGCAGCTCTACTTGCCACCTGTGTCACACTGGTTTCTTGATTGGTTTATTCTCTGAGCCTGAAGATGGAGGCAGTATGTTCCTCCAAAACATCAGTCAACTTTCTATGGGCTGCACAGCATTGTGTCCCATAAGATAGAACCCTTCAAATGGAAGAAGATTTATATATGGATCTTTCAAAACTTGTCTCCTAAAATTTAAGTTAATTCCTTATACTGTTTTATTAATAATCCTTCCTGTTCTAGAGGAAATACAAATGGGTTTCATAATGACTGAAAACCTTCCATTTTAGGTCTCATAAATGTTCAGTTACATGTAAAAGAACATCATCAATTATCTCACTCTCAAGTTTATGAAAAGTAGTTCAGTGTCTGAGAACAGTGTGAAACTTTTTTTCATTGCTTATCCTCCAAAACTTCTCTTGTATAAGAATGACTCCGTTTCCCCCCCCCCCGCATATGTTGACATAGTTGTGATAGCTGTATGTTGGAATGATAAACTTAATAATAATAATAAAATAAATATGAATATGAATATGAATTCATCTATAAGCATAGCATAACAATTCTAGCATGTTCACTCCCTTTTGTTTCATTGTCTGAAAGGCATAAAACTTATACACGGCGCCAAATCCCAGAAGACTGCTTTCTTCTTATGTAAAAAGTGTTTTGAATGTAAAATGTATGTCTCATTTATTGACACCTTTTGCTTGAAAATTTTTCCTTCTACTAAATATCTAATGAATTACATTCAAGATGCCCACAAAAATGCACATAGGTCTTGGTGTAAAGATCCATTATTTTGTCTGAGTTTAACCAAAATTAAAATATATTGGTAAATTTAAGAAAATCCTCCAGTATTAAATTTTATGGAAATCATAAAATGGTTCTCAAATTATTACGTGTGGAATGACAGGCAGGCAGATATATTATAGCTAATAGGCACATTTTTGCAGCTATTCATTTTGAGTATATTAAGAGGAAAGTTAAAAGAAGGCAAAGTTTAAATTTTAGTGAAGAAATCTCTTGTATTTTTCTCTATTTCTTTTTGTTCTGTAAAATTGTAAAGCTTTATGAAATTATAGTAACATAGAGCACTGATAGGCTGGTCACGGTAGCCGAGCGGTCTAAGGCATACACTGTCTTCGCTTGCTCAGAAGCCGGGATTGTGGGTTCGAATCCCACTCAGGGCATGGATGTTTGTGTGCGTTTTTCTGTGTTTGTCTACAGGTAGAGGCCTTGTGACAAGCTGATCACTCGCCCAAGGAGTCCTACCATATGTGTAAGATCTAGAAAAACCGAAGTGAACGGAGTTCATGGAGGTAGGCCCAGGCCCACTGGGGCTGTAGTGCCAAGGGGGGAAAAAAAAAGAGCACTGATAGATCTGCCAGCAGTAATCTGTCATCAACTGTTATCATTTGCATGAGCGATGCTTATTGAAGAGCTGAAAACCAGCCTTCTTCCCCCCCCCTCTACATGATTGGGTTATAATATGTGGAGTCCCAAGTATTTATATGTGAACCTTTAATTTTAGGTAGATCAAGGTTTGTTTAATTACTGTCAGGAATAAGAGACTTTGGTAATCCTTTTGTGATCAGAATGCTGCTGTTATTTGTTGAATATTCAAGTTTGAAAGTACATGCAACATTCTGGGGTATTTGTACCCTTTGTTTAAGTATTTTGAAAACCATAAGAGTTGCAGAAAAATTGTGTTGAGTTTTTCTGGAACTGTTTGAATCATTTTTGGTTCTCATACATATTTAATTACTTACCCTTGAGACTGGTGCAGAACTGCGTATTGATCTTGATGTAGACTGTCCATCATTTTTGTTCAATTTTAATGAAAACTGAAAGTTTTGAAAAATGTTGGTAGAACTTGAAAAGATCAAATTTTGATAAAATCTGTTCAGCATTTCTGATGTTATTTCATATGTCTAAGCAGATGGTTGGAACAGTTTTAATGGTTATTCTGCATAGATGCAAACACACTAAATATGTGCATGAGGCTGCACCTAAGCTCAAGCGGTTAGTCACTGGCTTCCCACGGCAGCGGCCCTGGTTCGATCCCGGATCTGGTCAAGTGGGATTTGTGGTGGACAAAGTGGCACTGGGCCAGATTTTTCTCCAAGTACTTCATTCCACCAAATTCTCCATCATCATAATCACCCGGGGCAGGCTACAATAGGTCAATCAGTGGCCACTGCCGAGTGGACCCAGTTGGACTCCACCCCCCACTGAGCAAAATTTTTTTTTTAATATGTGCATGAGTTCAGTCCTAGATTAACTGTCTTGCTGTGGCTATTCTGTACAATGAACTGAACATAGTTCATGGCATGAGGATGCTGTTTACTGGTATATGCATGGTTAAGAATTAAATGTGTGACTCCACAGAACGTAACATTAATTTCATCCCTGTCTGGGGGCAGAAAATACATGTATTGCTACTAAGCCATGCTGTAAACACAGTAATCTGTCTTATGTGGCATCATATCACATGAATTGTGTACTGTTATGAGTGTGTTTAAGTATAAATCTTAGGCTGTCAAACTATAATATCTGTTCCAAACCTGCATTAGCATTCATTATCTCTAGTGTCATAATAAAACAAGTCTTTTAATTGTTCCCAGGTAAGTTTCAAAATATTAGTATACCTATCATAGTGTTTTCCAGATTCTGCTCCGTATTAGATTTGAAGTTATTTTAACATCTATAGTCTTGTGGTGTGTAGATCAGCTAGAATATTTGTTTCTGTAAAAGTCTGTTTTTTCTTTGTTCATGATCAGGAGGACATTTAAGTTGTAGGGATGAAATTGTTTGTCACTTTACAAATATTCAGCATATTAGTAAGATTAAAATGACTTGCAAAGTAAATGTCTTGCTGCATCTGACAATGATTCTGGCCTGTTAGTGGTACCCAAGTAATTAAAATGTATATAGTGTTACCTTATTTTTCCCTGTGTGCCATTAGATGTGCCTCCCTTCCATAATACAGTAAGCTCCCCATTGTCTGCCATGTGTGGGGAGTAGGGTGTGTCAGTTGTATGAAAAAATATCACATGAAACCCCGATTTTTGTGTAATTTTAACCCTTTCCCGTTTTACATATTTCTCTCATTTTCTGTTTCAAAGTCAAAACAATGTGTTTTCACGTTAGTTCTTGCACAGGAGTCTTCTTAGGTGACACAGCAGATTGATGGGTGGAAGGTTTTGGACACACCGTAAAGCTATCACAGATTCAGCTAGCCTGTGCTGTAATCAAGGATCTTTATGACTTTATGGGTACCTGCATGAGTGATGATGATCATGCCTAGTGGCAGCTGGCAAGACTACCACATAGTGGGTGAACATATGCTCATTGCCACTTTTTTTAATGACTTCATAAAGCAGTGATTTTTTTTTTTAATTTCATCCGTTTGCATAGAAGTCCAGGTGTTTGAATACAGATAACTGAGAGTTTACTATATGCCCTTTGCAGTATTATATTAATTTCACTTTCTGTTCATTTGACAGTGAAGAAAATGTTTGGAAACTCTGCAGTGATGTAAATACAAGACACCAATCTGAACTGCAGCATTGTCATATTGTATTTGTGTCCAATGACTGTCATACTGTACCTCTTTGGAGGCAGAGAGCTGGCAAAGAAGAAGAAAAGCTTGTTATATGGGTGAGAAACTTCATACAGATCCTGCACTATTTTATTTATACGAGTAGCCATCATAGAGTAGGTCAAGAACAGTAAGCAAAATTAATCGACTGTTATATGTTACACGGTGTCATTACAATGAAAATCAAGATAGGCCCTTATTACAGCCTTTTTTATAAAGTGGAATGCTGTCTAATGGGCATGTCTTTTCAGTAAGACTTCCACATGCTACCAGAGAGGTGTAATTGGACACCCCATCTGTACTCAGGAAATGTTTTCAGGACTGCTACTTTACGTACATGCTATTAGAATAGCTCATAAAAATGGTGTCTTCCAACATTGAAGCACATTTCATGCTGTAAAAAACTACAACATGTTGAAGGTGACAAATTTTAGAACAACGTTTTGGAATCTGATCTGTATAACATGGATTATTTCTGTAGATATAATGTTTCAAGTTTCACCGCATATAAAAGACACACATTCAGATATGGAGAACTTGATGGTCATACTCACATGCAGTTTGCACATACAACAATGGTAAAGTTATGTAGTTTATTTGTAAAACTGCTCTTTAATTGTGGGATACTGTACTAAAAAGCAAAAGCACAGAATTGGAAATCCATCAGGAAATGGGTAAGAGGATAAAGAAATAACATGTAGCAAAGTAATACAGTGTTAAGCCATCAACATTCTTTTCTCTGTCATTACTATGATATAAGCAGGTGTTCACTGTCAGCATTTTTTAATATAACACGTGTAACTTATGTAAATATGTAAAGTATATTTTCATACATTTAGTACTTCTATAGATATTTCCCGTGTAATGCTATATTTACACCAGTCACGGTAACCGAGCAGTGTAAGGCATACACTGTCTTCACTCGCTTGGAAGCTGGGATCATAGGTGCAAATCCCACTCGGCATGGATGTTTAGTGCATGCGTTCATTTTCCTGTGTTCATGTACAGGTAGAGGCCTGGCAACGTGCTGATCATGACATGTGGTATAATGAATGTATGAACATAAAAATAAGAATGAATTTACTACCTAGCACATGATGAACTTTTGGTGTGAAGAAGGCCATATGAAAAAATAGATATTGCAAATACACATACATAGCTAACACGTAGAAATGGAATTGATTACAGGACTACCATGTGGTGTTCTTGTACAATCCTGATGACCGATGTCTCGTGTATGACTTGGACTCAGAACTGCCATTCCCAACATACTTCCACAAATACGTCACTGAAACATTTCGCACTGATCAGATCCTCAAACCAGAGTATTTCAGGTTGGTGTTTCAGATGTAATGTTAAATTTGTTACCAGTATATATTAGATGTCATGAGTGTTAGATGCATTAGTTTGTTTTACTTTGTTCAGTCCTTACTTCAACAGCTTCATCGCATAGTTTATGTCATTCAATCATTTAGATGACTGAAAATAGAATGAAGTTTATTCAAACAGAATGTTCACAAATTTGGTGAAACTTCAAATGTACATAGTTGAATTTAATAGTTACTGTTTATAACTTATACTTGAATTTTACCCTAGAATCCTGAACTTCATTGGGTGGAACATTAATTAAACTCTTGTAAAAAAATATCACCATCAGTATTTGCAACTTAAGTCGCATCTTTTTCAACCATTCAGTGTATACAAGTATTTCTGGTTACGTAGATAAATGAACCAACATCTACCTGTCATCGTCACAGTGAAGGCAGTATTTTACTTTATGGTCTGTTTGCAAAATGTGATCATTATTTGACATTTCTTCAAAAGATAGGAAGAACAGATTGTCCTGTGATAGTGAGGTTGTTCAGCTATCTGTGGCAAGGAATCTCCAGTATTATGGTTATTGATCTCACAAATTAGGTATTGTAAGATCAGCATTTTGATGTGTTTTGTTTCATCCAGGATTTTGTAAGGGATCTGCTTAAGTTTTGCATGCACATTTTTCTTGACAGCAAATCTTCTATTTATTTTCTTTATCATTTCTGGAAGGGAAATTCCACTTCCTAATTTATCCTCCAATTTTGTTGTACTTTCTGCTTCATTTGCATATTCTTTTTTGTGTTGTCATAATAGTGAGGAATTATTTCACACACACACACATATCTGGAAGCCATTAATAAATATAAACCATTGACAGAAATGAGTATCATGAATCTTCCTGAGGGTAAATGGCAGCCAGCATGTAAGGCTGACATCCTAAATGCCATCTGTGAACTAATTGTCTATAAAAAGTGAGAGCCTTTACATCTCACAACCCTGTGTACAAGAATCAGTGTTATACTTCTGTGGTCATTGTTTTGTGATGTTAGATATTCGTGATACTAGGTATTTTCGAGTGGTACCAGCATCAGTGTTCCTGCAACACTTTGCATCTGATCGCCGCCATATGAAGCGAGCTGATGGTTCTTGGATCAAACCTCCGCCTGATTATCCACCTATCTCAACATCAGGTATGGTATAGTACATACGAAGGGGGACCCAAAAATAACCAGAACCGACCTGTTGTGCGCGCATGCTTTGTAGTTACGAGTTATGCTGCTAGGTGGTGTTAGCTGGGGGTCTCCCGCGACTGTTAGTGAGCTGGCGTCAGTCTGAGTTAAGTGGTTTGTCTGTGGTGCTCTGTTGTGTGCGTTCCTGTTTCAGCCCTTTGGCGATTAGTGAGATGGCCGACCAGAAGGAACAAAGAGTGTGCGTGAAATT